ACTTCTTTTATGGATATGGTTGCCACTTTTCGCATCTTCGTCTCGAAACACCAACAAAATTTTTCAACAAACTTCCAGACGAATGTTAATGTCCGGACAAGGGCAAAACTTTCAAATAACTCAATCAAAACTGATGACCTTTTTTTAGAAATTGGACTCCATTTTCATCAGACTACATCGGACTTCAATGGACTTCAGTGGATTATATCGGACTTCAACGGAATTCACCGGACTTTACCAGAATTCATCGGACTTCAAGGAATTCAACGGAATTCTGATAGGTTGTACACCGGAATTCAAGAGTGGTTACTCCCTCGAGCAATATTTTTCAACATTTAAACAAGCGAATTAATGAATTTCTTTCAATTCAAACAGAACATGTAAAATCTTTCTATTTATTTGAAAACATTCCAATGAAATGTGCGATTTTACCTTGAACAACGAATCGTCCGGCAAATGCTTCAGCGCAAACTCCCTCTGGCAGGTATACCTCGGATCGGTCTTCCTGAGAACAGCGTGTCCGTAGCCGGGTACGACCTGGCCGCTCTTCAACGTGTTCCAGATGAATTCCTTGAGCTTCTCGTCGCTGGGATTGTCGCCGATTTGACCGCGCAGTTTCTCCAGCCACACCAGCACCTCCTGATTGGCCAAACCGTGCAGCGGCCCGGCCAGGCCGTTCATACCGGCGGCGAAAGATAAGTACGGGTCCGACAAGGCGGATCCCACTAAGTGGGTGGTGTGAGCGGACACGTTGCCGCCCTCGTGATCCGAGTGGATCGTCAGGTAGAGGCGCATCAGCTCGATGAACTGCGGCTTGTCGTAGCCGAGCATGTTGGCGAAGTTCCAGGACCAGTCCCTGCCGGCGTCGACGGAGCCGAGGCCCTTGCCGCCCTTGTAGATGTTGCGGTAGATGGTGGCGGCCACCACCGGCAGTTTGGCGATCAGATTCATCGAGTCCTCGTACACGCTTTCCCAGAACTTGCTCTTGTGCACGCCCTTGTTGTACGCCTTGACGAACTCGCTCTCGCTGTTCAGCAGCGTGATCGCCGCGGAGAACTGCGTCATCGGGTGCAGGGTCTTGGGGAAGTTGTTGAGGGCCTTGACCACGTGCTCGGGTAACGAGCTCCTGGACGCCCATTCTTGCGAGAGGGCCCTCGCCTGCCCGTCCGTAGGCACGTCGCCGGTGATCAGCAGCCAGAAGAGACCCTCCGGGAGCGGTTCCGCGCCGCCGGACCCCTTCGGCAGGAGTTTCTGGCACTCGGGGATCGACTTACCGCGGAAGCGGATACCCTCCTCCGGGTCCAACACCGACGGCTCCCACACGAGGCCTTTGATACCGCGCATGCCGCCGTACATCTGCGTTCGAAGCAAAAAGCGTGTTAGATGACTGAGTAATAAAGTAAAAAAAAAAAATTAATATTATTATAAAAATCAATTATTTTCGATTAGACTTTTTTCGGTTGCTTCGATTTTTTTCAATTTCTCAGATTTATTTTAAGGGGTTACACCACCTTGACCGCCTAAAAATCATAGGTAACTTTGGGAATTTTTTTAGGAAAACAATAAAAGTAATAAAAAATTCGTTTTAAGGCTTTAATAATACAAGTCTTTAGAAGTAAAAAATATTTTATTTATTTTTTTAACAAAATGGCGACGCTGAAGCCAATTTATTAAACGTCGTTTTGTCAAATCTGCGTTGCGGGGATCTGCCATTTGATTGAACCTAGAGCAAAAAATCAAAATTTTTTAAAAACTATATAATATGCACTAAAGAAATACATACGGATATTTTAAAATATAGAT